AATTCTCATTAGATTTGAACAACTGACAGTCAACGGAACAAGACATCAATGACAAATGAGTGATTATAACACTTTGGTGCTGAAAATAAAAAAGTACAGACTCAATTGAACACTTGACAGTAGGCAAAGAATCAAAGTTAACAATCTCAAGTGGGGCAGAATCTAGAACAATGTCAACAATCTCAGGTGGAGAAGAATCCGAAACAAAATCAATAATCTCAAATGAAGAAGAATCCACAATAATGTCATCATGATTCGAAATAGTAGAGATAAAATAATTGCCAACAGATTGTAAAATAGATAACTTAATATGCTCAACATCTTGCATAGGGACTAACTGAATGAATTTTTCCTCAAGTTCAATGCTTAGTGGTGATTCAACTTTTGGCACCGATGAGGTAGGAAACATGATAGGATCAAAAATAATCTCATCACTAGTATCAATGTTCAAACGATTGAAAGTATGTTTTGAAGGATGTAAAGCATGAGGGTCCAATAGAACAGAAATATGACTATCATTATACGGGTGTCCGACATTAGGTGAAACTGAAGACTTGTCCTTATTTTCTTCCATTTGCTGACTTGCAAGAATTTAATTCAAGTGAAAAAGTTGACTTGTTAATTCAGATAATTGATTTTTCACCTCTCTACATTCTTCACGTAATTGGTCGAGTGAATGTTTTAGTGTTGACAACTTCAATTTCAAAGATCTCAACCTTTTTTCCTAGGGCAATTTGGGCTTTTGAATGGTCACTAATAACATTGAAAATTGATCCAGATTGACCTTGATGACGACTTTGGAAAGCATGATGTTGGTAACTGTTATATAACCAAAGTGTTCTAGAGTAGTATTCTAGATAATCTTCATAATAAAACTCAAACTTATTATAGACTTTATGATGACTCTGAGAAGTTTTAGGAGTGGAATAAGTATAGTGATGACGTTGTGGAGAAATATGAACTTGAGACATCCTTGATGTTGGATAAGTATATGAATAAGCATCATAATGATCATATGAACTCATGATTGACTTTAAAAGATAAGAATAACATAAGAATGAGTTCAAAAATACAATTAATAATTATGAAAAATGAGAAAACTTAAATAGAAGAAAATATGTTTTATATCATTTGTAAATTCTCTAATTTTTCAATAAATAAAAATATTAGTCTCAAATTTCATGGGAGTATGCATATTATAATTAAGAAGAAATTTTGAAACTTTTGGAGATGATTTTGTAATTTTTAAAATTTCTGGGGGAAGATTTTATAATTTTTAAAATTTCTGGTCGTAGTTCTACAACTTTCTAAGGTGTTTCTATAATTTCTGAAACAATTAGGATTTTTTTATAATTTTCTAAATCTGTTGGGACAATTTTTTTTTTCTCACTAATGAACAATGTTTTCGGAGGGACAATTTTTTCGGGTGAACAGTGCACGCGTGAACAGTAACTTCTTTTTTTTTTTTTTTTCAAATCGAAGTTAGGCTCTGATATCAAATTGATGTAGATCACACTAGCTCTGATACCAAATTGATGTAGATCGTATTAGGGAAGAATTAGGGATGAGAATAGAAGAAGAAATTGATAAGAAAAGAAGAAGAAGGAGATGAGAATAAAGAGAATTTTAGAAAGAAAATTCAATATCAATAATCAATAATCAATAATTAAAGTCTAATCTCACAACAAATATATATCCCTTATATATATAAGGAGTTCACAAATTCTAAAATAAATAAATAATCAAAATGACAACTAAACTCTTAAAAGTTAAAAAAAAATATTTAAAAGATAAATATTAAATTACTCTCATGTTTAATCTAAAATATCTATCCAACTCCTACACGATTCCCATCAGGATCTCTTTGAAAGATACGTGAGTCGGAGTTGGGATTGTTGTCCCTTTTTTACTCGGGGCTTTATTTTCCTTTTTGGAACTGATAGTTTTACGTTCTATTAGCGACAGTCACTTCCTCTACCTTTGAATACTTGTCAATGTGGGCCATCAGGTCCTTCATGTCAATAGGGGTCCTTTTGGTTAAGGACCGGTATAGATCGGTGTTCCGGAATAATTTGAGCTTGAAGGTTGCAACAACCATGGTCTCGAAGCATCCTTTGACTTCATTGACTTCCTCTAAATATTGAGTTGCATACTGTCGAAGAGCCTCCCCTTCCCTTCATTTTAGCATCGACATCTTTTGGCCTCTCACTGCTAGTGATAAACCGAGCTGTGAATTGTCCTGTCATCTATTTTCAGGATTTTATGCTCTCAGGATCAAGGCCCTCATACTACTTTATTGCGGTATCACTGAGACTCATCAGGAAAACACGACACAACAACTTGTGGTTTGTGTCATAAATGAACATAAGTTGTTTATACTGTCGAATGTGGCTCTTGGGGTCTGTCCTTTTGTTGTAAATCTCGAAACGGAGGATGGTGAATTTTTTGATGCATCTCAACTTCCCCGATACTTTGAACAAAGGGAGATATAATCAGCTCGTCTTTGATGTCATCATCCACTTTCTCCCAGTGTAATAAGTGTTTTCCCATTATGCATCGTTAATGCTAGGTGATAGACAACCAAGGTTGAATCATTTAAGATGAGTCATTCATTCATAGCTTCACGTTCCAAACATCAAGTGCTCTACAATAAAATGTGCATAGCCTAATGTCAAACATTTATGAGGAGACGTCGAGATCTTAGTCGGACATCCCCAAGGGCTATCTAGCTGCAGTAAGAACCATGCCTTGTCTTTTTGGTGGTTAGACCTGAGCCCCCTGTGGACAAGACAATTAATGATAATTTGTCACATCAACGCACTACATGAAGTTCATACTTCGATGACAATTAATATTCGACATAGACCACATACATATCCTACTCCTCTGCGCGTTGTGCACTCTCGATTCAATTGACATGCCTTGTTAGCCCTAAGCAATCACACGTCAATTCATGATTGACAAGTTGTCAATGTCTCGTCGATAAAAGAGTACAAAAATAATAGAACTAATGGCATTTTTGTAGTTAGGAATATAAAGTTTCTGAAAAATAATTTTGTTGCACACCAACCAATTTTTTTGGCGGATGCAAGGAAATGGAGGAATCACTTTCAATTTTTTTCAAAATTATAAAGATTGTGTACGTTTTTGAAGTATAGGTATTTATATGTAGTTGAACCAAACCATTGTGCTTTAATTCATAATCTATCAAATATTATAATTAAAAAAATAAATTCTCAACTTATAAAAATACAACAATAGTTAAAATTGATTAAATTTTCATCTACATTGATTCAATGATACCAAATTCAAAAAATTAAAAAAAAATCACTTAAAAACATTATTTCTCTACGCAGCCCCCGATATTAAACAATTCAACTAACACACTCCCTAAAGTCAAACAACTCAATTCATTCATACTTACCCATCATTTTCTCTCCCTCACCTCTCTCTTATGGAAACAAATTTGGAAGAAAGCAAGGTTCAAAGAAGCTGTACATTTTTTGGCAAGGCTTTCCGAAGTTTGGATAAATTTTCTATTTCACACGTCCCACAGAAAATGCTATGGAAATGGTATACAGGTAAGAAATCTGATACAAATTTTACATAGAACCACATAAAAGCCCATTTCAAAATTTTCTATTTTGAAAAGCACTGCTTGGCTACAATTAAACTGAAACTGCTAATAGATTCATTAGATAGAGAAGATCACCAAGATTTTGTGATCCCCTACAAATTTATTCCAATTCCAAGAGCTCTGATCGAATGGGTATTGATTGAAAAAGAAAAATCCTATAGATGGGGGAATATAATTAAACATAAAGTTTAGGTAACTGAGTGGTTGTTATTATGTTATAAAAAGGGATATGCAACGGACGTAGCATGAAATATAATCCAATCAAATGCACTTCTAATCATGATATCCCATGGTGGAAACCACTGAATCATGTGGATCCTAAACAAGTAGTGGGGTCAGTCATATGGTGATTCAATTTACAGGTTGAAAATGTCCATATAAGAAGATCCTTGTGGCTCCGGATCCCTCCAATCCAGCCAATTCCAAATCAACCAATTCCGGGATCTTTTTGCAGCGAAGGTTTGTCATCGAATTCTTCAAACCTGAATGAAACTATACATGATTGATCCTACTATCAATCAATCCATCGTAATCAAATCTAATGATACACGTTGGCGATGTTACCTACCAAATAAAAGGCCTGCTAGGTGGTCAACTCTGACAAGGATTTGTACCTTAGGGGATCAGGCAAAATTGTGGATCAAATTCTGTGTACCCAACATTAACAAGGCAAAGGCCATGGGGGGGAGCTGGCGGAGCAGTGGCACGTCTACATGTAGCATTCATCAGGTGTATCAATGCATCATCTTCAGCACCAGCCACTGCTTCCCTTATGGATGTTGCCACGAGAACACGAACCATCTGCCAAGAATGGTCAGCCATGACAATATGATTCAGAACAACCCTAGTTCCAAAGTTTAAAAATCCCATTATAATTCATAAACAATTGAAACAATTTATGAGCCGCCTTCAATCAATGGAGAAAATTTAGGTCCCGTCTACACACACAATCGATACATATGCTAGCAAATATATCACGATCATTAAGCCACTCGAGACTCATTCTTTAGTCATTCCCACATCTCAATGCTTTAGGCAATTTTAATGTATCTCTGGAAAAGAGTGGCTCTCAAGATATATTGCTATGATAATTTTATGGAGCTCAAGGCCCTTGGGCTGACAGGTGGCACCAAGCCATTGGAACTGAAATTTTTAAGTTCAGAATTTCAATATAACTTTACAGATAGCATGTTAACAAGATGATCAATAAAAAGTAGCTACCTTACGTAAGAAGCGGTTCGCAACCAACTCAATACACATTGCCTTTGTATGCTTTCCATCCTCCAATTAAAACAGAAAATGAAGTAATGCTATCAGTAATGTAACTGAAATTAGTATGAGTAGATATATCATTCATGAAGGTGGCTTGACCGATATATGAACTCAGAAATTACAAATGCTGAATATTACAGAACAAACAAATAATATCCAAATTCCTGGAGTGGCATGCACAGACTTTTACTTTCTGGCAAGGAATCACTTTTGTTGGTCCCAATTCAGTATCAGAAACTATACCAACCATTGCCCAACATTTGTTAAATTAAACATTATTTCTGTGTCATTAACCAAATGATTCCTAGATACATGGAAACAAGATCTATAAAACAAGTGGACAGCATATTTCCTGCACATTTATCTTGTTTAAATTCACATGTTTATTGCCCTCTCCCCTTTTCCGGTAAGTAATGATTGGGGTTTCAACATGTTCTATATTGTGCTTAAATAACAAGCATGTAGTCTTGTTCAACAGAAAACACGATGATGACAAACACGCAGAGTTTTACAAATGTACCCACACACATCTCATGGACTAGGAAAACATGAACCCAAGGCAATTGAAATTTCAAAATGGAAGTAGAGCAAATTAACAAGACTAGTGATCGTAAGAAACCTTTGCAGCACATGGCAAAGTGGCTTCGGTGGCGCGAGCATGGAAGACAAAACACTCCGTTGGTGGACCACTGAAATATGAATACCATGGAGATAAATGAGTAACTGGTCCAGCAAATAAAAATCAAGTCCATGTCCAGATTTCATAAAGTGATTTTTTATTCTTTTTTACTAAACATCTAACACCCTGCTGACCACCTCGAGCAATCTAATTAATTTCAAAACCTCATCGAAGTAAAATCAGACTTGGATTATATGCAAATTTATATTGCTAGGCCCGGATTGAATTAAATATTATCTTTTTCTATGCTAAAAGAAAAGCACTATTAAACAGATGAAACTAATTGCCAGTTTAGAACACACCACAAGGGCCCACCTGTTACATTTGACCAGAATCGGGTTGAAACTGGCATATGCATCAAATTGCATCTGCAATCGAAAGGCCCAATCAAATCAATTCTTTATATTATAGATAGGTTTTAGGAGTTATAGATAGGTTTTAGGCCCAATCAAATCAAATTGCACTTGTTTTAGGAGTTTTAAACCACTCATCTCTATGTCAAAACAGAGACAGATAGGTACACACCACAAGCAACATGGCAGCACTAACCGTTTTGCATTCAAGATGTCCAGATCTAATACAATTGATGACAGTTTCAACAGATCTTACTGAAGAAAAAAAAAATCAGAACGCAAGATAGTAGAGAACTCGAAAGCTATAAAAACTTTCAACAGCATGGACAATGTGATCAATATAAACCATGCATATTTGAGCAAACATGTAACTGATTCAGTTTCTGATCCAAATCAGATTCCCATTCCAGTCCAGTCCAGACACAGGAAATTGGATTTCCCCTCATAGTTAAAAAAAAAAAAAGTAAAATGTGGTTCACTTTTTATATCAGAAACCAATTGGAAGCCAAAGAATTCGTCTCACAATAACGGCAGCTTAAAAAAGGATGTCAAATTGATGAGTAGAAAGGCCAGGAAGGACAAATTTAGTAATCAAAATAAATCTAAGAAGTTACAAGTTGCAGAAATTCACACTCAAGAGTTCAATCATTTGCAACTATAAACAATGGCCATACCCTTCATTACGGGCATAATTCAAGTTGAATTGCGCAAGAAAGATAAGGACAAGAAACTTCGCAAAACCATGACAAAAGACATGTTTTGTATTATCCATCACAATACAGACCCTAATGGAGCAAAGTAGTCAGGATGACTTATTTACCTGACCCCAAAGGGTAAGGAGAAACTATGAACATCAGTAACTATCCAAGTGTGATAAAAAAATCTAACCAATCCAATGTACATGTGTAACTCCACTTGTGAATGAATGCATCACAGGGACGTGCATTGTACACCTGTGAATGTATGTGTATCTGCTTGTACATAGTGATTCATAACAGGAATTTCTGATACATAATTTAAAATAGATAAGCACCTGAATTTAATCTAACCATATAATCCTTGCACATATTTCAGATAAAACTAATCCAACCAGAATCTCCATCAATGATCAGACACATATGATTGAGGCCATGTGAGCAACATAACTACCTAACATGATTTAATTCTTACGTNCAACTAATCCAACCAGAATCTCCATCAATGATCAGATGCATATGATTGAGGCCATGTGAGCAACATAACTACCTAACATGATTTAATTCTTACGTGTTTCTCGAGGCTTTAGTATCCCGAGCGAACATCTTGTAGGACAACAACTTTCCTTCTAGCTGACGTAGGAGTTGGTTGACCTTGCTTACCCTGAACTTGGATAGTTGTTTTGGAAGTTCTGGTTTATGCTTGTCATTTTCGAGTAGATTTTCAACATCTTCCTCACGAATGTGTCCACTAAATTCATTTCTTTGGCCATCATTAGTTTTAACACAATCAATATCTTCAAAAGCCTCCTCATTCTGACTGCTTCGCTCTCCCTCCTCTCCATCACAGAAAGGGAAGATATACAAATAGCGCCTCCATTTGGCAGCGAAATTAGGATGAAATACACGTGATACCTATGACGGGTTATACTGACATTAGGACCTGGTGTAAGAGTTACAATTAAGCAAAGAAATAGCAACAGGTACAATTCTCCAACTGATACCAACAAAGACAAAATCATAGGCTCAGAGAATTGACACAATAAAGGAACGAAGAGTACATTGAGTCTGATCCTGTGCATGGATACACAATAGCTGAAGACCACATTACCTCAGCAACAGATATGACTCTGAGCTTTCCTGGTGCTGCACTATTGATGGCATATTCAATATCTCGAGCTTTAACATCCTGTCTCCAAGTATCTAGACATACAAGCAGTTGGAGGACAAAGTGAATGTTATTCTAAAACCATGAACATGAGGAGGTGAAATTTTTTTGACAAAATTTGTGAAGACTATAAAATAATTCAGACATTTCACTGTAGATTGCAACTGGTTTCACATACTGAGTGAACCAAACTATGCAGTTCTATTATTTATGCATGCATATGAACTAATGTCCAGAAAGGAGAGTAGAATGCTCATAACTTTTGTACCAAACATTTAAAAAAAAAAAAGAATTTAATTTATTCTCCAGACATGCCATGCCATTTAGGTCCTAATTCATAACACAATAAAAGCATGGCTACAAATCAGCAAAAGACAATGGGTATCACAAGGCTATGAAAATCAAGATGCAATCTAATATACATCACTACAAACATTCATTCAAACACATTTATGTATACACGCAATACGTATATATACATGCACACACATGTTTATATATTCAGGCAATGAAATGATGAATTAATACGGTAAGCATGACATACAGAAAGAACAAACTTGTTGCCAAGCCGTCACTCCTTTATCTGTCCGGCCAGCAACTGCAGCACAGCCTTCTACTGGTAAACCCTTGTCTTTCAGCAGTTGAGCTTTATTCTCATCAACAAATTCTCCCAAAGATCTTTCAACTAAGCTGTATGGAGCAGCCATCAAGACACATGAACAATACAAAGCGAAGAAGAAATTAGTAATTCCACATTGATTCATTTTATATCAACCTCGTCAATAAATAATTTTGACATTTTATAATAAAGGGAAAAAAGTCATCGCCTATAACTTTCCAAATTCATGGAATGAAAAAAATAGTTAGCTACTTTGTGAAAATAAGAAACTCAGATTTGTTTTCATTAGCAATCACACGCATAAAAATGCAGTTTAGACTGGACTTATTGCGGATTCGTTACAAAACATTAATTCAATGTGCCAAACAGAATCATCCTTGAAAACCAAAGCAAATGAAACAAAGTACCATAAAGAAAAATTTGTCATCTAGAAGATAGCATAGTAAATATGGTGACCAGAGTATCAACAAAAGAATAATAGCTTAATTTTACCTCCATCCAATATAAATGATGATCCAAAAATTATAAGTCATTCGGAAAAAATACCTCTGAACAGTGTTCAAGCCAGGCTGCCTCTGCCACCCACCAAAGGAGCCCCCATAATATGAAAGGACTATCTTAAATGTTACTCTAGCCCACTTTCCAGTTTTATTTTTAGTCGGGACACTCACCAGGCCAGATTCATCAGACGCCTCTACAATGTCAGCATCATCATCAATAGGGTGTGTCTGTGAACAAATCTCTCCATAATAAACCAAACACATAACAATCTAATTGTATACACTTTAAACAAGTTGATAGAAAGGAAATTCAATAACCTTGTGAAGTGAACATGTAATATCTTTGAAAATCTGAAACTAAAACACTGTTGTGCAGAAAAATAGACCTGAAAGTAAAGTACATAACAAGAACCAACAGTTCAAAGAAGAAATCATATCCATGTAAAATTGGTGTCATTTATTGCACTTCTCAGACGCTTCTAGACAGAGGTCCCATATATCTTGGGACAGTATATAAAGAGACGGTTGATCACAGTCAATGTGCTGATATGGGGTCCTGCTTAACCAAGGATTTCTGAAATCCTAGCAGTGGTGGTACCAAAAGTTCCGTATTTTTCCTATATCTCGGATGTATCAACATCCAAAAATCAAATTCCGAACCTCAAACAATTTTCATTTCTGTATACTAGAGAAATGTGCCAAACAAGCCTCCAACATTCAGAGCCAACTTTCTTTTGATGTAGGGAAAAGGGAATAATTCTTAACAGATTTTTGAAAAAAAAAGGCTTTCGATAAAGCTCAGTAAAGATTGATGTTTAGAAAACAGAAGTAATTTATAACAAGATCTCATTCCAAAAGTAGGATGGAAGAAGGAAAGACACGTCAAAAATTATGTGCATACACGTATGTGTAAGCATGCATATGTAAGTACACAGTTAAAACATGCCCGTCTTGACGGCGTTGATTAGGAAATAGTTGTTACTAATTTCAATGGAAGTGACACTGGTGTCACAAGCACAGCGTTACATTGGTTGATCGTAAAAGTATGTCTTTCATAAACCATATAACCAGAATAGGAAGGGTGGACTGGACCTAACCTCTAGCCACGTTCTTACCCTTAACTACCCTAGCCATATATACACACATTTCTTTGTTGCCAATGTTCCTGCAGTGTAAATAGGAGACTTCAACATGATAGTGTGCCCACATCATCCCACAACCATGTCCATGTTCATGATCGTGCTCCATGCGCTGGGGTTTAATGGGCTTCTAGAATGCTTAACTAATAAGACATAGTTATTGAAGTTAATGACTAACGGTAATAAGATCATAAACGACAACGGGAGAGAGAAATTACACATAGGAGGAAGATGGCCTTGGAGATGTCTGTATTGCTAAAATTGAAGCAGACAGAACAAGAAGAATAGGGTAGGTTTATCACATAGAAGTTGTCCCATAGGTTTCCTTTCGTATTGGTATAAATTCTAATTTTTCTTCCCCAATCCCCTTCCCAACAAAAGAGGAGACAAAAAGCAAAAGTAGTTCTCACCCAAAAAAGAAAAGGAAAAGGTTAAATTATATAAAAAGGACTTTCAGAAATAATCCCCCTTGGGTTGAGTTTGGCAATGTAAAGCGTCAGGATATATTGGTTTCTTATTATAATCATACATTGTGCAGAGCTTACTATGCTTGTAAAATATCTGTCAACCAAGAGATACCAAAAGCCTAAAATCTAGTCAGTTGCATTCATCCTTGAACATGTGAATTAGTTTACTTCAGTGCATGTATCAATAATTGCCAGTTTTATAAGATGTAATCTACCAGCAACAGTGGGGATGGTTCCACACTTGTGACAGATCCCATAATAACATGGAAATTTGCACTTTATATGCCAAGAATCAATGGCCCTAGTTTCAAGAGAGTGCAAAGCAACCATTGCTTAACTTTAACAGAATCCGTTATCATTCGCCATTGTTTCAAACAATTCAAATAAGGAAAATAACCTATTGCTTAAGCTCTACTGATCTACTTTCCATTTCTTGTTCAGCTGCATTACTGAAAAACTGGTTCAGTGCAATCTAAAAATCCACAATTAAGGCAATTTCGGAAAAAGTTCAAAAGCCAATGTTTAACAATTTTCCATGAAACTTGAAGCCTGGACACTAAATACAAACATATCCAAAATCAAAATTTTGCAGATGACCCACCTCAATTCCAAACAATGCCGACAATGACACCTGACCCCTCACCAAATCAGAATAATAATCAAGAACTTGTTGCCACGGTCTGGCAGACATGAATTGGTAACATTCCCTGCCAAAGCAAATAAATTTACATTAGTCGGAGGCATAACAGAGTAGTTAATGGTCCTGAAAAGGCAACAATTTCAGCCATTTGTGGAAGTAGGTTTTAGCTCAAGAAGAAGTTCAACTGAGTTGACTCAGAACCGACCTCAAAACTGACTCAAGGCTTCCTACAACTACTGCGCTCAATGAGAACCCGACCGAGCCAACTCATAATTCAATACTTCCGCGACGACATCACCGAGTCGGGTTCAGGGTCAACCCATGGAAGCTAACGAGTTGACGCACAACCGAATTCTTCGACTCAATAGTCAATACACTCTCAAAACCGTGTTCCCTCTTTGTTCACACACCACCTCCAACAACCCACCAGAAAAAAAGAACAAATCGAAGAAATCTTAGAATCAAAAAGGCTTGCCATAACCAAGTCGACTCGCTCCGGTGATATCGACTGCTCATATTAAAGCCTCAACTGATAACTGAAAAAAGAATAAAAAAATCAAGGGTTTCAGAGGGAGAAATAGAGGTTTACATACTTGGTAGTCCACCTCGAGTACTTGGAAGCATCGGTGTGATCATAATACGCATAAACCTTATTCTGAGTCTGCCTTTCCATTAGATATCTCGGAATCTGTGTCACCCTCGGGTACTTTATCATACCCTCCTTTGTTCCACTCTCCGAAAATCTGAAAGTATCGAAGGAAACCTCCGGCTAAGGCGAGGGACAGAGAACAAATTGCGATCCGTTTTTCTGTCGGTTTGGAACTTATATTTTTCACGCTCGCAAAATACAAAATAAAATGTTGGGAGAATTAGAGCAACTTCGAGGGGGAGTTGTAAAAAATGGAGCGTCAAATGTCATTTTGAACAGTATTTTAGTATTTTTGAACAATATTTCTGCTCTAATAATAGGTGTCAAAATGAGATGTCATTTTAATATTTTAATATTTTTTATTATAAAATATAATTAAATTTAACAATTATATTTTAATGAGTATAATTTTCATAATTATTGCAATTTAACGGATATACTTTTATAATAAAATTTTAAATTTTCAAATTTCAAATTTTAAATTTCAAAATTTGTCTGTCGAAATTCAAATTTCAAATTTTAACCGTTGAAATTCAAATTTAAAAATTTAATCGCCAAAATAAAAATTAAAAAAAAATATAATTTATCAATAAATATGATCATTTTCCTCATGTTTTTATCCATCTATCTTACATTCTCTCTATAAATTCAATATCTCATTTCTCTTTGACTATTTATCCTTTCATATTTTCATTCATTAAGTTGTATGAATCGTTATCCTAATATTTTAGGAGATATCCTCAATATTAAAGAAGAAGATAATGATAACTTGGATATGTAGTATGCTACAACTATAAGGCCTGATGGGTCTAGTCAGGAACGGATAAGAAGGCATCGTGGTTCCCTTCCAGTCCACATAATAGTTAATCATGGTAGAGTTGAAGGTCACGAAAGACTATCGTGACTATTTTGCTACCTCTTGTGTATATGAAGATTTTTTTCAAAGAAGATTCCGAATGAGTCATTCTCTTTTTCTCCGAATTGTAAATGAGGTTGAACAACACTATCCATATTTCATCTAACACAACAGATGTCGTTGGAGTTCTCTGTTTGTCATCCTTTCAAAAAATAACAATTGCTTATAGAATTCTTGCTTATGGAACACCGATAGATTCTGTTGATGAATACATCAGAATTAGAGAAAGCACTGTCATACAGAGTCTGATAAGGTTTGTGAAAGCTGTTGTTACAGTGTTGGCGACCATTACCTGAGGTCACCAAACAATATCGATATTGCTCGATTGCTACAGACGGGTGAATAACGTAGCATTCCTGGCATGTTAGGGAGTATTGATTGCATGCATTGGAAGTGAAAAAATTGTCCTACCGCGTGGCAAGATATGTATACTTGTCATTGTCATGAACCAACAATCATTTTAGAAGTTGTGGCTGCTCAAGATCTTTGGATATGACATGTTTTCTTTGGGCTTCCTGGTTCGCTGAATAACATAAATGTTCTAGATAGGTCCCCTGTTTTTGCATTATTAGCAAATGTTCATGCTCCTCCAGTCAATTATATAATTAATGGTCATGAGTATATAATGAGATATTATTTAGCTGATGGTGTTTATCTAAACTGGTCGACATTTGTAAAAACAATTCCCTGTCCACAAGGTTTGAAGAAAAAATATTTTGCTAAAGCACAAGAGTTGGCAAGAAAAGATGTAGAGCGAACATTTTGGGTACTTCAAGCCTGTTTTGCAATCGAGCATGAACTAGCACGCTTTTGGGATGAAGAAACACTTGCAGATATTATGAAAGTATGAATAATAATGCATAATATGGTCATTGAGGATGAAGGAGCTATTGGTAACAATGGCTTTGATGGAAGTGATACAAATCCGCCTGTAGAAGTGTCGGATGCGTATACACCAGAATTGGAAAATTTTATGCAAACCCATTGTCAGATCAGGGACAGTGTTACTCATTCTCAACTGCAGTCAGATCTTATCGAGCATTTGTGGGAACGACATGACGACTAATTTTCTCAATCTCAATTTCAATTTCAAGTTGTATTTTCAATTTCAATTTCAAGTTGTATTTTCAATTTCAATTTCAATTTTATGTTGTACTTTCTTTCAATTTCAATTTTAAGTTGTGCTTTCAATTTCAATTGAAATTTCAAGTTGTACTTTCAATACATAGTTTTTCATAAATAATAGCAACATAATAAATAATGACTAAAAATTAAAAAATAATAGCAACATAATAAATAACGACTAAAAATTAAAACCCTGCTTTTTCATAATCTCTATCTTCAGACTATTCCAATATGTTGCAGAAATTGGGTCCATTCCAGTAGTGTCAGTTTCCATGATTTTCATTTCATTCTGCTTTTCAATTTCTTACACCTGTCTTTCTTCAATTTCTAACTATCTACGATGTTGCTCCAATGCTACCTCTTGTTAAGCATAAATTTTATCGTGTCGCTCAACTTTTTGTCGTTCCACTTCCATTCTTTTCATTCCAGTGGTGATGATTTAGTGATGCTTCAACACCGGTTTGCTTCTCTTTGTTCTTCGAAGCCTTTCTGCTCAATGGCCTATCGAGGTTGGGAGTGGACAAGGGTTTAGTGTCATCCCCTAAATATGGAGTTGAATAGCAAGATTCAACATGATTTGATTCAACATGACTATCAGTTGAATGAGATTTTGCTCTCTTATTGCTGATGAGATTATCAGTGCATTTTTCGCTCCATTTTCAATATATTCCAACAATGCTCGTATTGAAATAGTTTTTCAATGATCTTAGTAATCATTTTTTTTGCTTCATCAACCTGAAAAACANTGGCAAGAAAAGATGTAGAGCGAACATTTTGGGTACTTCAAGCCTGTTTTGCAATCGAGCATGAACTAGCACGCTTTTGGGATGAAGAAACACTTGCAGATATTATGAAAGTATGAATAATAATGCATAATATGGTCATTGAGGATGAAGGAGCTATTGGTAACAATGGCTTTGATGGAAGTGATACAAATCCGCCTGTAGAAGTGTCGGATGCGTATACACCAGAATTGGAAAATTTTATGCAAACCCATTGTCAGATCAGGGACAGTGTTACTCATTCTCAACTGCAGTCAGATCTTATCGAGNCACCACCTTGTTGTTCATTCCCAATAATTGCATCTTTACTTGTGTTAAGTCACGCAGACACAATTAATGTATCTTCTTCTATAGATAAGTTCTTTGTCTTTTGCGATTTTTCACTCTTCGAATGACTTCACTTTGTACTGGCGTCAATACTGTGAGGTTGGTCTGTACAGCTTCATCATATAAATCGGTGTCGTTCATAAACAAATCAGTGAAAGAATTATCGTATTGTGAATCCATCTATAAAAAAATATAATAAATTTAAAAGATAAGATAAAATAATCAATGGTGTAATATGACAATACAAAAATAATTAATAGTGTAATATAACAATACAAAAAAATAAAATGATGTAATATGACAATACAAAAAAATTTAATGGTGTAATATGATAATACAAAAAAATTAATGGTGCAATATGACAATACAAAATAATTAAATGGTGTAATATGACAACACAAAAAAATTTAATGGTGTAATATGACAATACAAAATAATTAAATGGTGTAATATGACAATACAAAAAAATTTAATGGTGTAATATGATAATACAAAAACATTAAATGGTGTAATATGACAATACAAAAAAATTAATGGTATAATATGATAATACAAAATAATTAATGGTATAATATTTAATCCCTACCCCCTTCCCCTGCGATTCAATCCCTGCCCCCTTCCCCTTCCCCTTCCCTTTCCCCTTCCCCCTTGTGATTCAAACCCTTATCCTTCCCTTTCCCCTTCCCCTTTCCCTAATCTTAAACCAAATCACCCAAAATTAAAACATATACCAGTGAGGCAAGGAGACAACAACGAGACAACATACACCAGTGAGGCAAGACGATTTTCAGGCAAGTAGACATCTCCTTCCCTTTTCCCTTTCTCTGTATTTTTATAGGAGTTTTGGGATGAATATAGTCGTTGAAATGAACAGTAGACTCAACGACTCTTTTGAAACCTCTCTTATTCTCTCTCCAAAGTTTACAAATTTGCCACCCCAAACCCATAGTTGCCATTTTACCACCCCTTTTGGAGTGATTTTTTTTTTTTTTGGGGTGACATTTTGGCGGTTAAGGGTTTGCCACCCTAGATAGCACTCCTCGTTGGAGTTGCTCTTACACCTAAAATTCACTGTTGTTTGTCGCTTGACGCTCGGATTTTCTAACATTTAAAATATTACATACAGACTTTTTAAAATTTATATTCACATAACCTGTAGGCCCATATTAAAAGAATTACATCTAAAATTCATGATGTTTGTCCCTTAATCACTCAGATTTCTTAACATTTAAAATATTACACAAAAACCTTTTGAAATTTATATGCAAGTAACACTTAGACTCTTTCGTTATATATATATATATATGATAGTATATCCATTAATAAATTACACTCAGACCCTCTAAAATTTATAAACGTACAATACTTGGATAAAAAATACTTCAATCAAAGATAGAATATTAAATATTTTAAATTTTATAATCAAAATTCATGTTCTATTGTATCATTTATTGAAATAAAATTAAAAATAAAAATTTAATTTTTTCTTAAAAAATTTATAATTAGTATACAATTAAACTATCTGTTGGAATAAAACTAAAAGATTCAACAAGGGGTCTAAGTTATTCATAATAAAATATGAATTTTATAATCAAAGTTCATGTTCTATTATGACATTTATTGAAATAAAATCAAAAATAAAAACCTATTTTTTTCTAAAAAATCATAATTGGTGTACACTATCAATTGGAATAAAATTAAAAAAAATTAAATAAGGGGTCAAATTGTAACACAATATATTCTAACTTTTATTAGAGTAAATTGGTAGTTTAATTTGGTCGTTTAAACGATCAAATTAAATTTCAATAAATAGTATAATTATAAAAAAAAAATTAGATTTTTATTTTTAATTTTATTTCAATAAATGTCATAATAGAACATGAATTTTGGTTCTAAAATTTAAAATATTTTATATTCTATCTTTTATTAGAGTATTTTTTATCTAAATATAATATTTTAAATTTGAGATGTCTAA